TATTGCTAACTGCTATTGCTAAAGACAAGCTATATTTCCTCCACCCACCCATGTTTCAAAGTGCTTCTGAATTATTTTATAAACGTTCCACTTCCCAAACTGAACACGAAAAACAAATACAAAATGTGAATTCCTGACAAGACAGGGAATTGTAAGCATCAGTGAGTTGTATGTGCACAATTCTACAACATATGTAACAACAAGGTGATAATATGAATGGCTTGCTTTTTCTGTTCTTGGGTTTTGTTTTGTTTTTCTGCAAGCCAAATTTTATCAAACAGCTCAGATGCCCAGAATCCCTCTACAGAGAGCCGGTCAACTGTTCAAAAGAGCTTTTGACTGCTTTATGTACATTTTGTTGGATTTAAGCCAAAGCAAACCACTTCATACTTGGCAGCACGATTGTTATGAATGTTTTCTTCCCAAATTCAAAGGAAACAGTTGGTAGGAATTCACCCTGAAGCGTATTTACTTTCAAGCAAATTTATTCGGTGTCCTTAATTTTATGAGAGCGTAATTGGCTCAAGTATATATTGAATGTTTTTTTTTTTTTTAAGAGACACTTTTTTCCCCCACTGGCAACTATTGTTTGGCTGTGTAAATCTCTTCTATGGATAACATGCCTTGAGATTTATTTATTTACTAGCAGGGTACCTGAGCTTCACTACAAAAGTATGTGATCAGGCAAGTTTTTTGGGAGGGAAATAAAAGGGGGTGGAATCTGCCTCTGCCTACCAGCATCCATAGATATTCATCTGGCTAGAGTCCTGTCAGTGTGTTGAGGGCTGTCTGGAAACTGAAAAGTATTTGCTGTATGAGCAAGAAGGAGACAGCAAGGAGCCTGGGCGTGGCTTAGCTCAACTGTTCTGTACTGAAGCTGCTTGGTGCTGTAAAACTGAAACTGACACTCCTCTCCTCTGCTTGTGTTTTGCATTTGGAAGAGATTTCTTTTCAGGTGGGGAAGGGGAGTAGAACTCCTTAGCATCAGAGTGTGTTAATAATAATAATATAGGAAATACTAATGCTCTGATGGGCCTTTTGAGAAATCCTTTCTTAGTGAGCCCCTAGAAGCCAAGAGGAACATATGTGCCAAATTTCAAGTTTGTAGGCTTTACATTTCTGGAGATTTTGTGATGATGCATGAGTGGTATTTCGCTTTTATATAGAGAGATTAAGATTATTATTCACCGTTTTTCTGTTGATATTCCTACATTTTAACCATTAGACTGAATTGACTCTCCCTTAAGAATATAGACCACTTCTATTGTAACTGAAGGAAGCCAATATATATATATATTGGGCACAATGAGAATGTATCTGCTGAACAAAACTCAGCACTGGCAACAGGAAAGGCATCCGGCCATTAAACACTCAGCTCCATTCAGTTGCCCCGACTCCACTCCACAAAGGATTACGGGGTCTTTAAAAGGAGATAATGATGATCATATGTGTTTCCATAGTACAAATACATGTGGTCTATATTCATCAAGATAAAGTAGACTAAGAATAGACTATCCTATAATTTCAACACATAAACTGGGTTTTGCCAAGAAGTTAAGTTGCTATTCATATCAGAGGTCAAATGGTAACAGAAGAAAAGCTTTGTTATGTTTTATGTCTGGGTTTGCTAGCTCAAAAGCATCAAAATAGACTATTCAGTGGACAGAAAGAAACACCAATAAAACAGAAAGCAATATACAAGGAATCAAGTCTGGTTGATTTCTGAGACAAGAAAATAAATTGAAAACAAAAGAATTTTTATACACACACACACACACACACACACACACACACACACACACACATGGCATTCAGCTTTGTTCGGGTATTTTCCCACGTCATTATAGTTGTGCTTTTAAAGTTGTAGCAACGTTTCGGCAGAATCTCATCTGCCATCATCAGACGAACACAATACAGAAGCCTAAGCACAGGAATCTTCTCAATTCATGGTTAGCATTTGCTTGAAGTTAGATAAGGGTCAATGGAATTCAAGGGAGCTTGGACTTAGTTCGCTTGTGACTACGTAGGGATTCTAGGCTGATCCCTTTTTAACTACAGTAACCTTCATCTTAACAATAACAGTGACAGTTACTCACATAAAATTCACGCAGCCTGTTCCTGCAGGAGGAGCAATCCAAACAAAACTGAGATTTGTGGTTGGAAGGTGGCTGACGTGCGATGCAACCACACTGCACATGAATTGATTCCCAAATTGGTGATCAGACATTATTCCTGCAAGGAAGAGACAAAATAAATATTCATGAAAATTCATTCAACAGTTTCATTCTATTTCTGCACAAGCATCCATGAAGAATTAATAAGAAATTCATACAGAAGTGGTCTTCAGCAGGTTCTGACCAGTTCTGGGTAACCGGTAGCGGAAATTTTGAGTAGTTTGGAGAACCGGCAAACACCACCTCTGACTGGCCCCGCCTCCCAAGTCCCAGCTGATTGGCTGGGTCTTCTTTTGTTGCCCCGCACAGGAGAACAGAGCTGGAAAGCAGGTTAGTGGGGTGGGGAGGCAATGGGATTTTGCGGTATATCCTTCCCCTGCCACGCCCGCCACGCCCACAGAACCGGTAGTAAAAAAAATTGAATCCCACCACTCTTTGTGTGTGTGTGTGTGTGTGTGTGTGTGTGTGTGTATACACATATACATACATACACACACACGATGGATAGATAGAAAGAGATAGATAGATAGATAGATAGATAGATAGATAGATAGATAGATAGATAGACAGACAGACAGACAGACAGACAGACAGACATTACTTTGAACACTAATGGGAAATTACTCTTTGCTCTGAACTTCAAAACTACACTTTCCTATATTCTCAATGTACAGTATTTCTTTCACTGGGCTTTAAAATGTTAATTGATCTTTTTAACCATTTAGCATTGATTCTTTTCCTATTCTGTTGTTGATACTTAAAAGATTATTTGACAGAGAAGAAGCTTCAGGTAAAAATAGAATACATAGTATAGTATAATGAAAAACTTCCTCTGTATTTTGGAATTTTGTATTTGATTGTATTTGTCCATATCCATGGGTGGGAATCTAGAGCCAATTGCCCAGTTGGAAGTAACCCAGACTAACAATTTCCCAAGAATTATTTTTGGGTCTTCTCCAAGTTTTGTCTACGGAGATTCTCAGTCATCTAGATTATGGTTGTCCCAAAGGTGCTTTTTCAAAAAGCAAGCTGGACTGTCACAGAGCTGAAGAAGTTTCTTGGATGAGAAGCAAACTGTCTTCAAAGAAAACACAAGAAAGTCCAGTTGCCTCTTGAAAAAGCAGCTTTGGCTCTTCCCCAAATTAATTATGTTCTAAAAGTGGACATTAAGATATCTGGAAGCTCTTAAAGTCTACCTCGCACTGTTAAGTCCTAGAAAAAAACAAACCAGGAAGTCTTCAAAAACCTACGGATTAAACCTATGGATTAAAATCAATGGACCAGATTTTTGTTGCTGTTGTTGCTTTATTCCCTACAATGGTGGTGGAACTTAGTTCCATGATGGAACTTAGTTCTTTGAGCAGAACAAGTAATAGACACTGCATCTTCAAATGCAATCCTAAATTGCATTAACAGAGGGATACAATCAAGATCAAGTGAGGTACTAATATCACTCTATAAAGCCTTAGTAAGACCACACCTAGAGTACTGCATCCAGTTTTGGTCACCACATTATAAAAAAGATGTTGAGACTCTAGAAAAAGTTCAGAGAAGAGCAATCAGGATGATTAGGGAACTGGAGACGAAAACATATGAAGAACGGTTACAGGAACTGGGCTTGGCAAGTCTAGGGAAGAGATGGACCAGGGGAGACATGATAGCAGTCTTCCAATATTTGAGGGGCTGCCACAGAGAGGAAGGGGTCAAGCTATTTTCCAAAGCACCTGAAGGTCAGACAAGGAATAATGGATGGAAACTGAATAAGGAGAGATTCAACCTGGAAATAAAGAGAAACTTTCTGACAGTGAGAGCAATCAACCAATGGAACAGAAGTTGCCCTCGGAAGTTGTGGAAGCTTCATCACTTGAGACTTTCAAGAAGAGACTGGACTGCCATCTGTCAGAAATGGTGTAGGGTCTCCCACTTGGGTGGGGGGTTGGACTAGATGACCTACAAGGTCCCTTCCAACTCTGATTATCTGTTATCTGTTAAATTGTATGGTTCTTGTTTGTACTTTTCCACCCCTTTCTTTTTAGTTATAGAGATTTTAAATTACTATAATGTGTATAGTTTCTCACTCTATTATCATCGTTGTATCATTCTTTGCAGTTCAGTATTTTTCCCCCCTAAATATTAACTTATTTTTTTGATGATATATAACATGTAAGTGGAAAAGAATTTTCTTGAAGGACTGGTTGGACCAAAATAAGTACAAAGGTGAAAGGAAAAATATCATTAAGGTAGAAGTGAGTTGCACAAACTTTTACAGATAGTCCTCGAGTTACGACCACAATCAAGCCCAAAATTTCTGTTGCTAAGTGAGGAATTTGTTAAGTGAGTTTTGTCCCATTTTACAACTTTTCTTGCTACATTTGTGAATCACTGCAGTTTTTAAATTAGTAACCCGGTTCAGTGAATCTGGCTGCTTCATTGACAGAAGGTCACAGAAGGGGATCCCATGACCCCAGGATATTGCAACCGTCATAAATATGAAGCAGTTGTCAAGCATCTGAATGTAAATCACATGACCATGGGGATGCTGCAACAGTTATAAGGGTGAAAAATGGTCATAAGTCACTTTTTTTTCAGTGCCGTTCTAACTTCACACTTAGAAGTGAGTCCCATTAAGAATTATTTCCTATATAGAATTGCAGGCTATAGTGTCCTAAAATATTTCTTTGTACAGAAAAAAAGAGGGAAATTAGAGGTTTAGATTTTTGTTGTTCTGTAAGTAAAGCAGTATTTCCCATAGACTGTTGTGCCTCTGTCGGAATCTGATTTGGAGGAGGAGGCTGAGCAGCTGACAGGGAGCAGGAATGTGGCTCCATTGGCTGTGGAAGACACTGGGGAGGGGCAAAGGCCGGCTGGGCAGAACAGGGGAGAGGTAGAGCAAGGGAGAGGGAATTCAGAGGAAGACCCTCTTCATCCTAGGGCACGCAGGGAGGAACGGAGAAGGGAGCAATGTGGGTTGCGTGGCTTACGGGGGAGGAAAGGGACCTGATTCCCTTCATTAGCTGCAGCTGGGAACACAGTGTTTAAAAAGGGAAGCTGCACGCAGCAAGTTGTTGGGAGCAAATTGTGAATTATCTGGTATCCTCGAGGCTTGTCTGTGCTCCTGGCGTCTTCCCAACTGTGTGTGTTTTGCTGTGCTTTCAAGTCTGCAATTCCTTCTCCTGCCTTGTCAAGTTAATCACTGCAGTGTGGTTTGTGTGGATTTTTAGTTACAGTTTGTATGTACTTTGTTTTCAGACTGAATTTCCTCCACTTAAAGACTGTTCCTGGGAGAGTTTTTCTCCAGCTGAAGGTAGCCTGGACATTGGGGGCAAAGTTGGAGATAATAAAGGGACTCTTCTTGCTTATTTGACTGTGTTGCTTTTGTGCCACACCCCGGGTCATCACATAGACTTAGCATAGCATTTCATTGTAGACCTTGGATATTAAAATGAAAACACATCAGTACAAAGCCAGACCACTATGGAAAACAGAAGGAAGGAGTGCAAAAAAAAAAAAAGTAATTATGCTGCAGTTTCTCTAACCAACCCTGGTTTATGATAGACATGACACTGGCAAGGGTTCTCTCTTTTTAAAATAATAATAATAATAATAAGATTGTATTTTTCTTCTACATGCTCTGAATATTCAGGTCATTTAATACAGAAACAGCAAGGACTAAAGAAAAATGATTGGGTGCATCACTATTTTTTAAAAATAGAGTTTCTACACATCTTTGTGTCATTTGGGGTAGAGCCAACAGCTAAGACTCACTAAATCACAACCTATTTAAAAAGGTAAGAAAGACTTCCCTGGAGTTATTTCCCCCTTGAGTTTTATTGTGTGTTGAAACAGTATATATGTCATTCCATCTTATTATGCCTTTCTCTGTTGTATATTACTTTACAGTGAAACTGTTAAGGATACTGGCTGTATATCATGTCTAATCCAAGCCCTGGAACGGGGCTTATCCGTAATAGATGGATGTCCTCAATTTTCTGGCACTTGCTGTAATAAAAGTTCTATATAACCCAAATTAAGACAAGGTCATTGGAGCATTTTCAGGAATCTGGTCACTTGTGGAGGACTTTAATTCTTCCAAAGGGTCATAGACAAGGTCAATGGAATCCTGAGGACTTGAAGTTCAAGTCTGGCAGGGATAATATATAATTTATATAGATGTTTTTATGGTCTTCAAAGTCCTTCACATAGAATAGTTGAGCAATTTTTTTTCCTCCTGAAAAGCGTTGTTGGAAGGACAGTGTAACTACGCCCATGTTGTAGACAAGTTGTGGAGAATGAGAGGGTCTTTCTCAGATTTTAACGTGCAAAAAAGGTCAGGGGTGACCACCTCATCGTTTAGATCTTGATGGTTTATCTTCTATGCTTAAAGCACCTCAACCCATCTCAAGATGTGCTCCATAAACATCACTCAGCATGACCAATTAGTGTATTGTGCAGGGATGATGGAACCTCTAGTCCAATGCATCTGGATGCCAACATTTTGGGGGGAAATGTAGGACATGATAGTATCTCACTGAAATGTTTTGACTGAGTTACTATATTCATCTTTGATCAAGCCAATATTTAGTGTTATACAAACTAGCTGGATAACCGTACTTTGCAATGATACTATGTGATCAGGCTATGCAGGAGAAATCCAGTTCACAATCTGTTGGCTCAGTGGTGGTCAGTGATTGAAACACATAAGGTAATATCGTTCCCACTGCCTTGAGTCCAGAAGCAGTTCCATAGGTGGAAGGCATAGACATTTTGGTGAGGTACTGACATTTAGTAGTGTAAGAGCCCCAGACAGCTCCTGCGTGAGGGAGTAGAACGTGCCAGTTTGAACTGAGGTAACGGAATGTGAGGCAACTGGCAGTTGGAACAGAGTTCTTTTCAGGTGGGGAGGGGGAGTAGACCTCTTTAGCATCAGAGCGTGTTAATTACTGTATTATGTAATAGTAATGATCTGATGGTCATTTTGAAAAATCCTTTCTTAGAGAGCACCTAAAAGCCAAAGTGCTAAATTTCAAGTTTGTAAGCCTTACGGTTTTGGAGATTTTG